TCATCATCAACATCATCATCAGCAGCAGCATCATCGTGATCATCATCAGGAGCATCATCATGATAAACAGCAGCATCATCATCATCAGCAGCAGCAACAGCATCGTCATCATCATCGTCATCTTCATCATCCGCATCATCATCATCCGCGTCACCATCATCATTATCATCATCATCATCATCATCATCATCATCATCATCATCAGCAGCAGTATCGTCATCGTCATCGTCATCATCAGCATCAGCAGCATCGTCATCATCATCAGCAACAGCAGCAGCAGCAACAGCATCAGCATCACCATCAACGTCGTCACCATCATCAGCATCAGCATCATCATCAGCAGCAGCATCATCCTCACCAGCATCATCATCATCAGCATCATCATCATCAGCATCATCAGCAGCAGCATCAGCATCAGCAGAAGCAGTATCATCATCAGCAGCAGCATCATCATCGTCATCATCGTCACCCGCATAATCATCAGCAGCATCAGCAGCATCATTATCAGCAGCATCCGCATCATCAGCAGCATCCTCATCCTCATCATAATCAGAATCAGCATCGCCATCATCATCAGCATCATCATCATCCTAATCCTCATGCTCATCCTCATCATCCTCATCATCATCATCATCAGCAGCAGCATCATCAGCATCAGCATCATCAACAGCAGCATCATCATGATCCTCATCCTCATCATCCCCATCAGCATCATCATCATCAGCAGCATCAGCATCATGATCATCATCATCATCAGCATCATCATCATCATCATAATCAGCAGCATCATCATCAGCATCAGCATAATCAGCATCATCATCATCATCATCATCATCATCATCATCATCATCACCATCATCATCATCAGCATCATCATCATCATCATCATCACCATCCTCATCCTCATCCTCATCCTCATTCTCATCCTCCCCCCTCTGATACTCCCGTCCTCCGCCTCCTCCTCCGACCTCCTCCTCAGCCTCCTCCTACCCTCCTCCTCCTCCTCTTCCTCCCTCCGCCTCCTCCTACGTCTCCTCATCTCCTCTCCGCTCCTCGCTCGCTCCGCCTCCGCCTCGCCTTCCGCCTCCTCCTCCTCCTCCTCCTCGCTCCTCCTCCTCCTCATAGCTCATCCTGCTCCTCCTCCTCATCATCATATCCTCCTTCCTCCCCCTCCTCCGCCTCCGCTCCGCCTCCGCCTCCGCCTCCTCCTCCTCTCCTCCTTTCTCTCCTCCTCCTCCTCCTCCTCCTCCTCCTCCTTCCTCCCTCCTCCTCCTCCTCCTCTCCTCCTCCTCCTCCGCTTCCTCCTCTCTCCTCCTCCTCCTCATCCTCCTCCTCCTCTCTCCTCCTCCTCTCCCTCCTCCTAATCCTCTCCTCCTCCTCCGCCTCCTCCCCACCTCCCCTCCTCCTTACTCCTCCTCCTCCTCCTCCTCTCCTCCTCCTCCTCCCCTCTCCTCCTCCTCCTCCTCATAATCCTCTCCTCCTCCTCTCTCATCCTCCTCCTTCCTCCTCCTCCTCCTCCTCCTCCTCTCCTCCTACTACTCGTCCTCCTCCTCCTCTCATCTCCTCATCTCCTCCTCCTCCTCGTCCTCCTCCTCCTCGTCCTCCCCTCTCCCCCTCTCCCCTCCTCCCCCTTTCGCCCCCTCCCCCTCCTCCCCCTCCGCATCCTCCTCATCCCCCATCATCCCCTCCTCCACCTCCTCCACCTCCTCCCACTCCCATCCTACTCCTCCGCCCCTCCTCCTCCTATCTCCTCCTCTCCTCCTTCCTCCTCCTCCTCATCCTCATACCTCCTACGTCTCCTACCTCCTCCTGACTCCTCCTTGACCTACCTCCTCTCTCCTCCCCTCCTCCTCCTCCTCTCTCCTTCCCCTCCTCCTCCTACTCCTCCTCTCCTCCTCCCCCTCCTCCTCCCCCTCCTCCTCCTCGCGGCGGGAGGCTGGGAGAGCGGGTGCGCGGCCTGCTCCGGAGCGAGCTCCTCGGCAGCCGCCTCTGGGCTCTCACCGTCGGCGGCCTGTCCCAGGGGGGGGGGCGATCGGCTGGGCGTCGGCGGACCTCGTCGTCTCTCCTCCCTCTCATTACTCGCATCCTCCTCCTCCTCCTCCTCATCCTCCTCCTCCTCCTCCTCCTCCTCCTCCTCTCCTCTCCTCCTCCTCCTCCTCCTCTCCTCCTCCTCTCCTCATCCTCCTCTCATCCTCCTCCTCCTCCTCCTCCTCCTCCTCCCCTATCCCCTCTCCTCTTCCTCATCCTCCTCCTCCTCCTCCTCCTCCTCCTCAAGCCTATTCTTCCTCCTCATCTCCTCATCCTCCTACGCCTCCTCCTCTCCTCCTCCTCCTCCGCCCCTCCTCCTCCTCCTCCTCCTCCTCCTCCTCCTCCTCCTCCTCCTCCTCCTCCCTGAGGATCATCGACACGCGGAGGGACCGCTCCCAGCCTCCTTCCGGCGCCAGCGAGGGCCGCGGGGCGCCTGCGAGCGGGGCACCACCGCTGCGCGCCCGCCGCCCTCGCGCGGCGCTGCGGCCGCGCCTCGACACACAGTCTTGCGGCGGGCCCGACCGCTCGCGGCGCGCAGGCCCGAGCAGCGCGGGCAGACGCCGCGGCACCGTCCCGAGGAGGACCGCTGCACCTTTCGCTACTGTCGGCCTCCAGGTCGGGTGTTGCTGGAAATGCCCCAGGCCCAAGGTGCCCCCAGGATTTCCAAGGAGGCCCCCACGGCTTCCAGGGCACCCCTCACGACTCCCAGAGGGCCTCAGGGGCTCCTCCAAAATTGAGCGAAAAGCTGGGGGCACCTTGGGCCAGGGGCACCTTTAGCAACCCCCGACCAGGGGCCCTTGCCCAGCACCGGGACCGTCGAAAAACAGCTCCGGATGAGAAGCCAGTCCTCGGAAGGTGTCGAGACGTCTGGGGGTCGACGTAACGAAGAACTCGTGACGCCGGGGGTCTGGGTTCCCAACGACCTCCGATACCTCGAGTTTCTCAGTACGGGGCCACAGAGGTCTGGACCTTCACGCTGGGGCCAGCGCTTCATCCTGAGCCGTTTGGTGACACTCCCAGGGCCCGGCGAGGGACCCCAGAGGCCGAAGGCTACGAGAAACCTCCGCCTTCGAGTAGGGGATCGAATACAGAATTCGTTTACCCCAAACTTGATTTTGCCCGTCGGATCTACAGAAATCTGTTGATAACGGAAAGAGCGAGGTACGAGTGATGACGTTGCGTTTTGGGCGAAGCCCTCCAGGGAGGGGTGGGGCGTCTTGGGGGCCTCTTGGGAACTTTCTTGGGCTGTCTTGGGCGCTCAGGACGGCCCAAGAGGCGCCCAAGACGGCTCCAAGACGGTCCCAGAGCGCTCCAAGAGAGCCCAAGACGGCCCCAACACGGCCCAAGAGGCTTCAAGACGCCCCAGGGGGCGCCCAAGAGGTGTCCCAAGAGCGCCCCAAGAGGCCAAAATCATTGATTTTTATATAGGAAAACGTACATTTTGAGCATACGCCAATTTTCGGCATTCACGGTGTTGAAGACGGTCCAAGACTGCCCCAAGACGGCCCAAGAGGCTCCCAAGAGGCCCCCAAAACGGCCCAAGAGGGCGCCAAGACGGCCCAAGAGGCGCCCAAGAGGGCCCCAAGACGGCCCCAAGAGGGGGACCACGAACCGAAAAGCCTAGCCTTTCGCCCCAAGACGCTCCCAGGAGGCCCCAAAAGCCCCCCAAGAAGCCCCAAGAGGCCCCCAAGAGGCGCCCCAAGAGGCCACCAGGAGGCCAAAATCATTGATTCCCGATGGGAAAAGGTACATGTTTAGCATACACGGCTTTTCGACTTTCACGGCGTTGCAGACGGCCCAAGAGGCCCCCAAGACCGCCCCAAGACGGCCCAAGAGGCTCCCAAGAGGCCCCCAAAACGGCGCAAGAGGGCGCCGCCAAGACGGCCCAAGAGGCGCCCAAGACGGCCCAAGAGGACCCCAAGACGGCCCCAAGAGGGGGACCACGAACAGAAAAGTCTAGCCTTTCGTCACAAGAAGCTCCCAGGAGGCCCCAAGAGCCCCCCAAGAAGCGCCAAGAAGCCCCCAAGAGGTTCCCAAGAGGCCTCCAAAAGGGCTTTAAAAGGGTCCCAATAGGACCCCCAAGAAGGCCCAGGGACGCCAAATAAAGAGCGATCGGTAACGCAAAAAGCTCTTCACACCAAGGCTCCCAAGAGCGAACGGTGACGTAAACAAGCTGATAAGACCAAGGCTCCCAGCAGAGAGCGGTGACGTAACAAGTTCCTGACACCAAGGCCCAGCCAAGGCTCAGGAACGGGCGGCAACGCAACATTCTCTGAACACCAAGGCTCCCAAGAGCGAGGGGTGACGTAACAAGCTCTCAACGCCAAGGCTCCCAGTACGAACGGTGGTGCGAGCAATTTCGGTTTCTGCTTCTGAAGCGCTCTTGCCGTTTCTCCGTTTCTGTGCCGGCCCAGGTCTACTGGGCATTCTATGTATATCTCCCACTTTCAACCGAAAAATCCAGTTGGGGGTAAATCGATTCTGCCGTCGATCCCTACTCGACGTCTTGAGTCCCTCGAGACGCTGGAGAGTCTGGCCTGGGGCGCGCGCGCCCCCCCCTCGTGCTCCCTCTGCGGGTGCCGGCGGAGCGCCCGAGGCCGGCCTCGCGCGGCCCGGGCGGGGCACCGCGGGCAGCAGAGCCCTGGAGCGGCCAGGGGCGGCCCCGCCGGTGCCCACGGCGGCGGGGGCCCAGACCCCCGACGTAATGATGTTCTCATCGCGTCGGCCCCCCAGAGGCCGCGACCCATTCGACGGGACCGGCGTTCCATCCTGAGTAGTTTTTCACGGCCCTGGGGTCTGGCGAGGGCCCCCAGAGACCGAGAATGGCGACAAGCATCGCGTCGTGATTTCCTCACGACGGGAGGGGGTCTAGGGGCCGAGCTATCTCCAGACCCCCGACGTCACGACACGAGCCTGCCGCGTGCTGGCGTCCGCAGGCCAGCCGCCCTGGCACAGACTCCAGGCCTCCAGGCCAGACTCTCCAGCGTCTCGAGGGGCTCCAGGCGAAGGTCTCTCGCGGCTGTCGGCCGCTGGGGTCCCTCGCTGGGCCCGGGGGCTGTGAGCGTGACCAACCCACGAACTCGGGGGGGAGTTTAGAGGCGCCCAGACACCCGGTGGGGCGACAGGCAACTGAAGTGCTAGTAGCGATAGTGATGTTCCGTGCCAAGGATTGTGCTGTGCTGTGCCGTGCCGACATGAGATGCGTCATGCCGCGATGGTTTGCGTTGTGCTCTATAACGTTGTGGATAAAAACGCTCTTGGCATCCGAATCCTGACGGAACTGATCTGGGTCTGATTTAAGGTCGAGCTGCCTGAGCGCACAGCTATCCCAAAGCTGGTTGCAGTCGGAACGCATGAAACACTCAATCAGCTCGCGCTCAAAATGCAACTCAGCTCCGAAGCGGGACGAGACGACACGGGGCGCAGCGCGTATGGACGCGCCACGGGATGTGCCAGGGGCACACTAGGGCGTGCGCCAGGGGACGTCTCAGGGGACGTGACATGGGACGTGCCACGGAACGGGCAGGGAAAGCGCCCGGGGGCAAGCCAGGGAACGCGACAGAGAACGAGCCAGGAGACGCGCCGAGAAGGGTGAACATACGCCGTCCCGCTCTGGGGCGTTGGGACCCGCGCATTTTCACGCTTGTCCCGCTCTGGGGCGTCAAGACCCCTGTGATCTCACGCGCGTCCGGCTCCGAGGGCGTTGGGGACCCATGTGTTTTCACGCTTGTCCTGCTCTGGGGCGTCAGGGACCCATAAAGTTTCACGCTTGCCCCGCTCCAGGGCGTCAGCGTCAGGAACCCAAGTGTTTGCACGTTTGCCCCGCTCTGGGGCCCGGAGGCGTTAGAAACCCAAGTGTATTCACGCTTGTCCCGCTCTGGGGCGTTAGAAACCCACGTGTTTTCACGCTTGTCCTGCTCTGGGGCGTTATGAACCCGCGTGTTCTCACGCTTGTCCTGCTCTGGGGCGTTAGGAAGCCAACTATTTTAACGCCTGTCCCGCATTGTGGCGTTAGGGACCCAAGTGTTTTCCCGCTTGTCCCGCTCTGAGGCCTTAGGAAGCATGTGTTTTCACGCTTGTCCCGCTCTGGGGCGTTAGGAACCCACGTGTTTTCGAGCTTGCCCCGCTTTGGGGCGTTAAGAACCCATGTGATTTCACGCTTGTCCCACTCTGAGGCGCTAGGAACCGCTCTGGGGTGTTAGGAACCCACGTGTTTTCGCGCTTGTCCCGCTCTGGGGGGTTAGGAACCCACGTGTTTTCACGCTTGTCCCGCTCTGGAGCGTTAGGAATCCTTGTCACACTCTGAGGCGTCAGGAACCGCTCTGGAGTGTTAGGAACCCACGCGTTTTCGCGCTTGTCCCGCACTGAAACGCTAGGAATCACGTGTTTTCACACTTGCCCCGCTCTGAGGCGTTAGGAACCCACGTGTTTTCACGCTTGTCAAGCTCTGGGGCGGTAGAAACGGATATGGTTTCACATTTGTCCCGCTCCAGGGCGTCAGGGACCCATGTGTTTTCACGCTTGCCCCGCTCTGGGGCGTTTGGAACCCACGTGCTTTCACACTTGTCCCGCTCTGGGAGGTTAGGAACCCAAGAATTTTCACGCCTGTCCCGCTCTGGGGCGTTAGGAACCCACATGTTCTCACGCTTCTCCCTCCCTGGGGCGTCAGGAACCCAAGTGTTTTCGTGCTCGCCCCGCTCTGGAGCGTTAGGAACCCAAGTTTTCACGCTTGTCCCGCTCTGTAGGAACCCATGTGTTTTCACGCTTGTCCTGCTCTGGGGCGTTTGGAACCCACGTGTTTCACGCGCTTCCGCATTCCCAAGACCACCTGGGCATCCTGGGGCGCCGAAACCCCTCAAGTTTTGCAAAACAAACGGTTCGCTCGAGCCACCCTCGAAATCTCTTCGCGCAGGACGCGTCATCCTCGAGCGGGCACGCAAACATGATCAGCCCACGAATTGCGAGGTATGGGAACGTGTCCAA